TCTTTCCCTGAGGTCGATGAACCAGGATGCTGGATGCTCTGGGGTTGGGGGTGACAAGTGTGTGACATCCCAGGGCTGATGTGTGCCATGGAGGGGGCAGCTGGAGGGTACCCCCTGCTCACCAGCAGGGCACATCCTCATGGTCCCTTGTAGCCCCTTGGGGCAGATGTGGTGATGGGGGAGGTTGAGGCCCTGGGGCAGGGAGCTGCCTGCTCTCTGCTCCATCCAACACTTTCCCCTTTAGATCCACCAGGAATGCAGAAGGGCAGCAGCGTTGCCCTTTGGGCTGCCTCAAATAGACAGAGCAATGTAAACCTGACAAGTTTTTATCTGTACAGACACTGTCAAACCCCCCACCCGCCCCTCCAGTCCCTCCAGTCAAAGCCAACCCAAAAAAAAAAAAAAAAAAAAAAAAAAAAAAATTTTTGAAAAAGCCACTGTTAGAGAAGGCTTTCCCTGACAAGCTTCTTTGTCAATGTCTAAAGACATTCTTACTAGGAATCCAAAAAATCTCAAAATATTTGGAATAAGTCTCAGATAATTATTCTGCCTCAGAAGGAGTTTGCCAAACCAACTGCTTCTATGCTTCATGAAAAGAAGTAGAACTGTTTTTGCCACATAAGTTTTTAGCCCATCATCCTCTGGAAACCTGTATTTCCTGAAAAATCTAGAACTACCATTGCAGGATTTTTCTCAGCATATCCCTGACCTAGTCATTTCCGTCCTCAGAACCTTGTCACACTCCCTCAAAAAATTCTCACATCACCCTAGGTTTTCTTCTGTTCCACAGGGTTACCATTCAAATTCCTTGGTAGCATGATAATAGATATTTTTATTTCCACACAGTCTTTTATTTCTTAATGACCAAGCACTACAACTGCATGTAACAAAAACATGATCTCCACAGACCCATGTCCTTTCCTTCTAATGGAAACTAGTGCATCCATGCATTAAAATGGCTCTAAATAAATAAAAACTTTGACTACTTAAGAACATCAGTATAAATTGATCACCTCCCGCACCCGCGAGTCCAGGCTCACCTGGGCGGCCGGGAGAGAAAGGGGAGAGGTGAGGGACCCCCAGTGCTGAGCCCCCCCAGCACCCGCCCCTGCACAAACTGTTGTGGGAAATTGGGTATCAGCGTGGCCAGACAGGGAGATCACAGGGGATCATGGAATTGTTCTGGTTGGAAGAGACCTTGAAGATCATCGAGTCCAAACATTAACCCAACTCTTCTGAGTCTGGTGCTAAACCAGGTCCCTCAACATCACATCTACACGGTTTTTAAACACATCCAGGGATGGCAACTTCACCACCTCCCTGGGCAGCTTGTTCCAGGGCCTGACAACCCCTTTCAGTGAAGAAGTTTCTTCTAATATCCAAACCAAACCTCCCCTGGCGCAACTCGAAGCCATTTCCTCTTGTCCTATCACTTGTTAACGATCTGCAGCAAAGTCAGGATGTTTGGGAGACAGAGAAGAGGGGCCAGGTCTCGGGGTCCGGTCAGGCGTCCCTGTGTCCCCTGGTTGGGGACGGGGAGGTGGGTTGGGGATGCAGAGCTGGGATGCAGCAGCTCCTCGGCCCGCTGGTGCCCTCCTGAGGTTCCAGCTCCGCAGCACAACCCGGTGGTCCTGCTGCCGGAGATGATGCCGGGGATGTCTTCCCCACCACGGCCATCCACAAGCATGAAGCAAACCCATTACCCTGCCCAACTCATCCCCACCCCATCCCTAAATCGCCGCGGGGCTGCAGGGGCAGCCGGGATTGAGCCATTACCCTACAAAACAATGCCCCACGCCGCCCCATTTCAGCCCAAGCCACCCCCCGGGAGGGGCTCTGCCCCGTACCTCCTTGGGCGAAAGGATGGAGATGTAGTCCTCGTAGATCATCCTGGCCTTCTCGTCGATGGTGTGCTTGTTGCACTCGTTTTTGAGCTCCTCGCACGCCAGCCAGAAGAGCATGTTCTCCTCGCTGTACTCAGTCCGCAAGAACTCCCGGAAGACGTTGCGACCTGCCGGGCTCTTCATCAGCTTGTCGAAGGACTGTGCCCAGCCCCGCACCTCCTCCGGCGTGGGTTTGGTGCTGCAGGTCCCCGTGGGAAAGGCAAAGGGAAGGGG